AAATTTTGTCACCGAGCCTGGAATTGTATTTTGGGGTAGATGTGTCAGTCTCTGAGATTTTATGCTGTTGTGAGTCACATTTTACAACGTTGTGTTCAATAAAAGCATTATAATATATATATATATATATATATATATATATATATATATATATATATATATATATATATATATATAGTGATTTACTAATCGTAGCTTAGATGTGTCACAAGTTAAATGTATGGGACACCTGTGATGATCGAACTTAATACTCAGTCAGAATTGATCTAGCAAGACAACCTTGTTAACCATTACACCAATTTACATATTTCGTTTCTCACACTTCTCACTTGTGGAACTATCTTCCAGCTTCTTGCTTTGCAGTCAACTTTGATCTTCAATAATTTAAATGCAAGGTCAATTGTTACCTTGTCTTTTCAATTCCTGTCCTTTTATTGTTCTCTCCCCTTAATAATGTTTTTTTCTTTTCCTTATATTCTTTCACATTCAGTAACCCCTTGAATCTTAGTGGTTTTGTTGCCTTGTTTCAGATGAAATGATTAAAAATTTGAAAGCAAAAAGAATTGTATGATAAATGTTCCGATCAACTCTCCTCTATGGTACGTAGACTTTATGAATTTAAGTGCAGTACTAGATTGGCGGTAAGGTCTCATCATTTTACAGTTGAAACGTCTAGATGTAATTGTAAGTTCTATGCTAACAGTAATTTTATACTGGTGAGTACTTCATCACTTTTCTCTTTTGGATGTCTGTTCCGGCTTCTTGATTAAATGTCTTCTTTAAAGTTCCTTTCCCACCACCATAGTGTATCTTCCCTATTTCTTTTCTATAAATACTTTCATCTGTGATACTTTAAGCGTCACACTGCATTGGCTGCAAGATATCGTCATTTTACATTTGCAACGTCATTTTTCTAGATTTAAGTTTTCTCTCGTACATGTAGTTTTTTGAACACTCATTCGGCTCCTTGCTTTCCAGTCAACTTTCATCTTCAAAAATGTAAATATAACCTTAATCGTTACCTTCTGCATTATTTACTTACTTGAAGTGAAAGTTTTTTTTTTAAAATCATTTCGAAGTGATTTTAACAAATTTCAAATAATTTTTTTTTAATTATTTTTACCCTATTGATAACTGTTCCGTCAGCTTGTACGTTTAGGTAACGAATATTTTGTTAAAAGAAATGGACTCTCCTCATCGTCAACCCACTATCGTATCGTCGAGATTCGATTGCTCCCCGTGACGGCAACACCAGCTGCTTGTAAATCGGATCAATTACTTTCTTTATATCATTGCCCATTATTCACGAATGGATTTCTGTCTAGCTACTTCTATCAACAGATAGCCGTTGCTTTCATTCCGTCTGCTTCGCCATTGTTTGATGAGAATCCACAATTATTCGTCTTCGTTCTATGGAGTTGTTACACTTTATATCATATGACGTGATTGGGTAATGTGCCATTTTCGTCTCGAGTCACGGGAAATAAACATTGTGGAGTGCGCTTCGCCATGATGTCCGTAATATATGGCTTTAGGCTGGGAATGTATCCGCATGGGTTAACTAACATTATAATGACTTCTAGTGCGAATGTTAGACGCACGCACCATTTTGGATTGTACGCGGCTATCAGGCCAATTATAACCATTTAACATGTATATTAGAAAAGAAAAGCGAATTCTTTGTCCGTCAAATACTGCGGGTCACTTTGAACGTGCGCATTTCATGTTCAGTAGTGAGAGCTGAAAAGTTCAAAAGCTGACAATGAAGGAGCTGTTAAATCCTACATTAAATTCAACTTTTCTCATTAATAACTGCATTGTTTCTTTCCAGAGAAAAGGCTGAAAAGTTCATAGGTTGACTATGAAGGTGTGGTGCTGGAGCTGAGAAATCTTGTAACTTTTTAGTCCATTATCTTACCTTGAAAAAAACAATGTAATCTATGCTATAAAGGAACTTGTACGTATATTCATCTGTCCTTCATGGAAATCAAATCTACTGGACCAATCTTGATCAAACTGTCACGAGAAAATAACTTTCGACCTTCATTTGGTCTGAATGTCATTAATAAAAGTTGTAGAGAATCCAAAAGTATAACCATTGCATAAGGTTTCTTTTAGAAAGGAGCAATTATGTACTTCCTCGGGGGCCAAAAAGGGGGTCTGTATGTAATAGTTATTTAACACTGAGTTATTTAGAAAAAATCATTTATAAAATTTGTAGAGAGTCAAAAAGCATTTAGGGTAGGAGGATATGGTGCCCCAATATTGTGCAATACTTGCACTATAATATATAAAAACATGAGCATACTTAACCCCATGCCTTAATCATACTTAATACTTAGTTGGTGACACATCTTTTAAAAGTTAGTGAAAGTACTTTATTATTATTATTATTATTGTCATATCTATTGCAAACCATATTATTAGTACAAGTAAGGCATTAAAACAGTTAAGGAACAAGCCTCTCAAGAAAAAAAATCCTCTCTTGGAAGAAAATCTTCTGCTGCCATTGCGAAAGACGAGAAGAGATTAGTTGAAATAGAAGAAACAAAGCAATTGAGGTTCCAAGGTAGCAAAACGAGAATTGAACAGATGAGACAAAATTGAAGTAAAGAGCAGAAAAGAAGAAAAAACAAGGAAGTTGAAGAATGACAAAATGATAAAAGAATTTGGAAGATATAGACAAAATCATCCTGACAAAATGCATCAAAGAAAAGATCTCACTGCTTGGAAGAGATGAGGGTTAGAAATCAACAAGAAAGACAAAATGCATCTAAAGAGGAAAGATCTCACAGACTGGAACAGTCATGGGTAAGATTTCTACAAGAAAGAGAAAATGCATCTGAAGAGGAAAGATTTCACAGACTGGAACTGTCATAGGTAATAATTCAACAAGAAAGACAAATGCATCTAAAGAGGAAAGATCTCACAGACTGGAACAGTCATGGGTAAAATTTCTAAAGAAAAAAAATGCATCTGAAGAGGAAAGATTTCACAGACTGGAACTGTCATCTTCAACAAGAAAGAACAAATGCATCTAAAGAGGAAAGATCTCACAGACTGGAACAGTCATTTCTACAAGGGTATCTGAAATTCAACAAGAAAGAAAACAGAATGCATCTGAAGAGGAAAGATCTCACAGACTGGAACAGTCATGTAATATTTCAACAAGAAAGAGAAAATGCATCTGAAGAGAAAGATCTGGAACACAAGGTACTGGAAAGACAAAATGTCTGATAGGACTGGAAAGAATTCAACAAGAAAAAGACAAAATATATCTGAAGAGAGATTTCTTTTGCTAGACTGGAACTGTCATGAAAATTCAACAAGAAAGACAGAATGCATCTGAAGACTGGAACAGGAACAGTCATGTGTAAGATTTCAACAAGAAAGAGAAAATACATCTGAAGAGGAAAGATCTACAGACTGGAACAGTCAAGGGTAATAATTCAACAAGAAAGACAGAATGCATCTGAAGAAGAAAAGATTTCACAGACTGGAACTGGGTCATAGGTAATAATTCAACAAGAAAGACAGAATGCATCTGAAGAAGAAAGATCTCACAGACTGGAACAGTCATGTGTAAGATTTCAACAAGAAAGTGAAAATGCATCTGAAGAGGAAAGATCTCACAGACTGGAACAGTCAAGGGTAATAATTCAAAGAAAGAAAAATGACAAGAATGCATCTCTGAAGAGAACAGAAAATAATTCATCTCACAGACTGGAACAGTCAAGGGTAATAATTCAACAAGAAAGACAGAATGCATCTGAAGAAGGAAAGATTTCAACAGACTGGAACATGTCAAACAGTCAATAATAATTCAACAAGAAAGACAGAATGCATCTGAAGAAGAAAGATCTCACAGACTGGAACAGTCAAGGTAATATTTCAACAAGAAAGACAAAATGCATCTGAAGAGGAAAGATCTCACAGACTGGAACAGTCAGGGTAATAATTCAACAAGAAAGACAAATGCATCTGAAGAGAAAGATCTCACAGACTGGAACAGTCATGTGTAAAATTTCAAGAAAGACAAAATGCATCTGAAGAGGAAAGATCTCACAGACTGGAACAGTCAAGGGTAATAATTCAACAAGAAAAAGACAGAATGCATCTGAAGAAAAAGATTTCACAGACTGGAACTGTCATAGGTAATAATTCAACAAGAAAGAGAAAATGCATCTGAAGAGGAAAGATCTCACAGACTGGAACAGTCATGGGTCGAAGAATTCAACAAGAAAGACAGAAAATGCATCTGAAGAGGAAAGATCTCACAGACTGGAACAGTCAAGGGTAATAATTCAACAAGAAAGACAAAATGCATCTGAAGAGAAAGATCTCACAGACTGGAACAGTCAAAGGGACAATAATTCAACAAGAAAGACAAAAGAAAGACGAATGCATCTGAAGAGGAAAGATCTCACAGACTGGAACAGTCAAGGGGTAATAATTCAACAAGAAAGACAATATATATCTGAAGAGGAAAGATTTCAAGACTGGAACTGTGGGTAATAATTCAACAAGAAAAGACAAATGCATCTGAAGAGGAAGATCTCACAGACTGGAACAGTCAAGGGTAAATTCAGAAAGACAAAATGCATCTGAAGTACAATTTCAACAAGAAAGACAAATGCATCTGAAGAGGAAAGATCTCACAGACTGGAACTGTCAAGGGTAATAATTCAACAAAAAAGACAGAATGCATCTGAAGAGGAAAGATTTCACAGACTGGAACAGTCATAGGTAATAATTCAACAAGAAAGACAGAAATGCATCTGAAGAGGAAAGATTTCACAGACTAGAACTGGGTAATAATTCAACAAGAAAGACAGAATCATCTGAAGAGAAAGATCTCACAACTGGAACAGTCAATTTCAACAAGAAAGACAAAATGCATCTGAAGAGGAAAGATTTCACAGACTGGAACTGTCATAGGTAATAATTCAACAAGAAAGACAGAATGCATCTGAAGAGGAAGATTTCACAGACTGGAACTGTCATAGGTAATAATTCAACAAGAAAGACAAATATTTCTGAACAAGAAAGAGAAAATGCATCTGAAGAGGAAAGATTTCACAGATTGGAACAGTCAAGGGTAATAATTCAACAAGAAAGACAGAATGCATCTGAAGAGGAAAGATCTCACAGACTGGAACTGTCATAGGTAATAATTCAACAAGAAAGACAGAATGCATCTGAAGAGGAAAGATCTCTGAACAGACTGGAACAGTCATCTGAAGAGAAAGATTAAGACTGGAACTATCAACAAGACAAGAAAAGACAGAATGCATCTGAAGAGGAAAGATTTCACAGACTGGAACTGTCATAGATAATAATTCAACAAGAAAGACAGAATGCATCTGAAGAGGAAAGATCTCACAGACTGGAACTGTCATGGTAATAATTCAACAAGAAAGACAAAATATATCTGAAAAGGAAAGATTTCACAGACTGAACTGTCATAGATAATAATTCAACAAGAAAGACAGAATGCATCTGAGAGGAAAAGATTTCACAGACTGGAACTGTCATAGATAATAATTCAACAAGAAAGACAGAATGCATCTGAAGAGGAAAGATTTCACAGACTGGAACTGTCATAGGTAATAATTCAACAAGAAAGACAGGATGCATCTGAAGAGGAAAGATCTCACAGACTGGAACAGTCATGTGTAAAAGATTTCAACAAAAGAAAGAGAAAATGCATCTGAAGAGGAAAGATCTCACAGACTGGAACAGTCAAGGGTAATAATTCAACAAGAAAGACAGAATGCATCTGAAGAGGAAAGATTCACAGACTGGAACTGTCACAGAATAATTCAACAAGAAAGAAGAATGCATCTGAAGAGGAAAGATTTCACAGACTGGAACTGGTAATAATTCAACAAGAAAAGACAGAATGCATCTGAAGAGGAAAGATTTCAACAGACATCTGAAGAACTGACTGGAACATCAGGGTAATAATTCAACAAGAAAGACAGAATGCATCTGAAGAGAAAGATGCATCTGGAACAGTCAGGGTAAGATTTCAACAAAGAAAGAAAAATGCATCTGAAGAGGAAAGATTTCATGACTGGAACAAAGGGTAATAATTCAACAAGAAAGACAGAATGCATCTGAAGAGGAAAGATCTCACAGACTGGAACAGTCATGTCATAGGAAAACCAAAATTCAACTGAAGAAAGACAGAACTGGAACATCTGAAGACAGGAAAGATTTCACAGACTGGAACTGTCATAGGTAATAATTCAACAAGAAAGACAGAATGCATCTGAAGAGGAAAGATCTCACAGACTGGAACAATCATGTAGCAAAGATCTCAACAAGAAAGACAAAATGCATCTGAAGAGGAAAGATCTCACAGACTGGAACAGTCAAGGGTAATAATTCAACAAGAAAGACAGAATGCATCTGAAGAGGAAAGATCAAGACTGGAACTGTCATAGAAAGACAAAAGACAGAATGCATCTGAAGAGGAAAGATTTCTGAGACTGGAACAGTCAAGGGTAATAATTCAACAAGAAAGACAGAATGCATCTGAAGAGGAAAGATCTTCACAGACTGGAACAGTCATGTGTAATATTTCAACAAGAAAGACAAATGCATCTGAAGAGGAAAGATCTCACAGACTGGAACAGTCATAGGGTAATAATTCAACAAGAAAGACAGAATGCATCTGAAGAGGAAAAGATTTCAACAAGACTGCATCTGAAGAAAAGATGTCACAGACTGGAATAATTCAACAAGAAAGACAGAATGCATCTGAAGAAGAAAGAAAGACTTCTGAACAGACTGGAACTGTAAGATTTCAACAAAAGAAAGATCTGAAAAGATGCATCTGAAGAGGAAAGATCTCACAGACTGAAAACAAGAAAGACAGAATGCATCTGAAGGAAAGATTTCTGTCAACAGTAATAATTCAACAAGAAAGACAGAATGCATCTGAAGAGGAAAGATCTCACAGACTGGAACTGTCATAGGTAATAATTCAACAAGAAAGACAGAATGCATCTGAAGAGGAAAGATTTCACAGACTGGAACAGTCATGTGTAAAAATTCAACAAGAAAGAGAAAATGCATCTGAAGAAAGGAAAGATCTTCAACAAGAAGACTGGAACAGTCAACTGGAACAGTAATTCAACAAGAAAGACAAAATGCATCTGAAGAGGAAAGATCTCACAGACTGGAACAGTCATAGGTAATAATTCAACAAGAAAGACAGAATGCATCTGAAGAGGAAAAGATCTCACAGACTGGAACAGTCATGTGTAATAATTCAACAAGAAAGACAGAATGCATCTGAAGAGGAAAACAGTCATGTATTTTCAACAGAAAGAGAAATGCTGAAGAAAAAGATCTCACAGACTGGAACAGTCAAGGGTAATAATTCAACAAAGACAGAATGCATCTGAAGAGGAAAGATTTTGCAGACTGAACTGTCATAGGTAATAATTCAACAAGAAAGACAGAATGCATCTGAAGAGGAAAGATCTCACAGACTGGAACAGTCATGTGTAAGATTTCAACAAGAAAGAGAAAATGCATCTGAAGAGGAAAGATCTCACAGACTGGAACAGTCAAGGGTAATAATTCAACAAGAAAGACAGAATGCATCTGAAGAGGAAAGATTTCACAGACTGGAACTGTCATAGGTAATAATTCAACAAGAAAGACAGAATCACATCTGGAAGAGGTAAAGATCTCAACAAGAAAGACAAAATGCATCTGAAGGAAAGATCTGACTGGAACAGTCAAGGGTAAGAATTCAACAAGAAAGAGAAAATGCATCTGAAGAGGAAAGATTTCACAGACTGGAACAGTCAAGGGTAATAATTCAACAAGAAAGACAGAATGCATCTGAAGAGGAAAGATCTCACAGACTGGAACTGTCATGTAAGAATTTCAACAAGAAAGACAGAATGCATCTGAAGAGGAAAGATCTCACAGACTGGAACAGTCAAGGGTAAGAATTCAACAAGAAAAGAGAAAATGCATCTGAAGAGGAAAGATTTCACAGACTGGAACAACAAGAAAGACAAAATGCATCTGAAGAAAAATTCAACAAGAAAAGACAGAATGCATCTGAAGAGGAAAGATTTGGAACACAGACTGAAAGAACTGCATCTGAAAGGAAAAGATTTCACAGACTGGAACAATCCAACAATAATTCAACAAAAAAGACAGAATGCATCTGAAGAGGAAAGATCTCACAGACTGGAACAGTCATGTGTAAGATTTCAACAAGAAAGAGAAAATGCATCTGAAGAGGAAAGATCTCACAGACTGGAACAGTCAAGGGTAATAATTCAACAAGAAAGACAGAATGCATCTGAAGAGGAAAGATTTCACAGACTGGAACTGTCATAGGTAATAATTCAACAAGAAAGACAGAATGCATCTGAAGAGGAAAGATCTCACAGACTGGAACAGTCATGTGTAAGATTTCAACAAGAAAGAGAAAATGCATCTGAAGAGGAAAGATCTCACAGACTGGAACAGTCAAAAAGGGTAATAATTCAACAAGAAAGACAGAATGCATCTGAAGAGGAAAGATTTCACAGACTGGAACTGTCATAGGTAATAATTCAACAAGAAAGACAGAATGCATCTGAAGAGGAAAGATCTCACAGACTGGAACAGTCATGTGTAAGATTTCAACAAGAAAGAGAAAATGCATCTGAAGAGGAAAGATCTCTGGTGACTGGAACAGTCAAGGGTAATAATTCAACAAGAAAGACAGAATGCATCTGAAGAGGAAAGATTTCACAGACTGGAACTGTCATAGGTAATAATTCAACAAGAAAGACAGAATGCATCTGAGAGAAAGATCTCATCTGAAGAACAAGAAGAAAATGCATCTGAAGAGGAAGATCTCACAGACTGGAACAGTCATAATAATTCAACAAGAAAACAGAGTAAGATTTCAACAAGAAAGAAAGAAAAATGCATCTGAAGAGGAAAGATCTCACAGACTGGAACAGTCAAGGGTAATAATTCAACAAGAAAGACAGAATGCATCTGAAGAGGAAAGATTTCACAGACTGGAACTGTCATAGGTAATAATTCAACAAGAAAGACAGAATGCATCTGAAGAGGAAAGATCTCACAGACTGGAACAGTCATGTGTAAGATTTCAACAAGAAAGAGAAAATGCATCTGAAGAGGAAAGATCTCACAGACTGGAACAGTCAAGGGTAATAATTCAACAAGAAAGACAGAATGCATCTGAAGAGGAAAGATCTCACAGACTGGAACAGTCATAGGTAATAATTCAACAAGAAAGACAGAATGCATCTGAAGAGGAGATCTCACAGACTGGAACAGTCAAGGTAATATATCAACAAGAAAGACAGAAATGCATCTGAAGAGGAAAGATTTCACAGACTGGAACAGTCATAGGTAATAATTCAACAAGAAAGACAGAATGCATCTGAAGAGGAAAGATCTCACAGACTGGAACAGTCATGGTAAGAATTCAACAAGAAAAGACAGAATGCATCTGAAGAGGAAAGATCTCACAGACTGGAACAGTCATAGGGAAAGGAGAATGCATCTGAAGAGGAAAGATTTCTGGAAACAGTCAAGGTAATAATTCAACAAGAAAGACAGAATGCATCTGAAGAGGAAAGATTTCTGAGACTGGAACAGTCATAGGAATTTCAACAAGAAAAGACAGAATGCATCTGAAGAGGAAAGATCTCAGACTGGAACAGTCATGTGTAATAATTCAACAAGAAAGAGAAAATGCATCTGAAGAGGAAAGATTTCACAGACTGGAACTGTCAAGGGCAGATAATTCAACAAGAAAGACAGAATGCATCTGAAGAGGAAAGATCTCACAGACTGGAACAGTCATAGGTAATAATTCAACAAGAAAGAAAATGCATCTGAAGAGGAAAGATCTCAACAAGATTTCCAGAAAATGCTCTGAAGAAAAGATCTGGAACAGTCAAGTAAGAATTCAACAAGAAAGACAAAATGGGTAATCTGAAGAGGAAAGATCTCACAGACTGGAAACAGAAAGACATCTGAGGGTAAAGATTTCAACAAGAAAGACAGAAAAATGCATCTGAAGAGGAAAGATCTCACAGACTGGAACAGTCAAAGGTAAGATTTCAACAAGAAAGACAGAATGCATCTGAAGAGGAAAGATCTCACAGACTGGAACAGTCATGGGTAATAATTCAACAAGAAAAGAGAAAATGCATCTGAAGAGGAAAGATCTCACAGACTGGAACAGTCATGTGTAAAGATTCAACAAGAAAGACAAATGCATCTGAAGAGGAAAGATCTCACAGACTGGAACAGTCAAGGGTAGACAACAATGAGAAAATGCATCTGAAGAGGAAAGATCTCATGAACTGGAACTGTCATTTCAACAAGAAAAGACAAAATGCATCTGAAGAGGAAAGATCTCACAGACTGGAACAGTCATGTGTAATTTCAACAAGAAAAAGAAAATGCATCTGAAGAGGAAAGATCCTACAGACTGGAACAGTCAAGGGTAATAATTCAACAAGAAAGACAAATGCATCTGAAGAGGAAAGATCTCAGACTGGAACTGTCATAGGGTAAGACCAACAAGAAAGAGAAAATGCATCTGAAGAGGAAAGATCTCACAGACTGGAACAGTCAAGGGTAATTTCAACAAGAAAGACAAAATGCATCTAGAAGAGGAAAAGATCTCACAGACTGAACAGTCATGGGTAATAATTCAACAAGAAAGACAGAATGCATCTGAGGAAAAGAAGATTTCAGACTGGAACAGTCTGAATGGGTAGAATTCAACAGAAGAAAGCATCTGAAAAGATTTCATCTGAAGAGGAAAGATCTCACAGACTCTGGAAACAGTCATGTGGGTAGATTTCAACAAGAAGACAAAAATGCATCTGAAGAGGAAAGATCTCCACAGACTGGAAACAGTCAAGGGTAAGAATTCAACAAGAAAGAGAAATGCATCTGAAGAGGAAAGATTTCACAGACTGGAACTGTCATGGGTAAAGAATTCAACGAGAAAGAAGGAATGCATCTGAAGGAGGAAACAGTCATTTCAACAGACTGGAACAGTCATGGGTAATAATTCAACAAGAATGAGAAAATGCATCTGAAGAGGAAAGAGATCTCACAGACTGGAACAGTCATGTGTAAAATTTCAAATAAGAAAGAGAAAATGCATCTGAGAGAAAGATCTCACAGACTGGAACAGTCAAGGGTAATAATTCAACAGAAAGACAGAATGCATCTGAAGAGAAAGATTTCAAAGACTGGAACAGTCTTAGGTAATAATTCAACAAGAAAGACAAATGCATCTGAAGAGGAAAGATCTACAGACTGGAACAGTCATGTGTAAGATTTCAACAAGAAAGACAAGAAAATGCATCTGAAGAGGAAAGATTTCACAGACTGGAACAGTCATAGAGTAACAAGAAGAATGCATCTGATTCAACAACAGAAAAGACAGAAATGCATCTGAAGAGGAAAGATCTCAGACTGGAACAGTCATGTAGATTTCAACAAGAAAGAGAAAATGCATCTGAAGAGGAAAGATCTCTGACTGGAACAGTCAAATAATTCAACAAGAAAAGACAGAAATGCATCTGAAGAGGAAAGATTTCACAGACTGGAACAATCATGGGTAATAATTCAACAAGAAAGACAAAATGCATCTGAAGAGGAAAGATCTCTGGAACAGACTGGAACAGCCATCTGGTAAGTCATTTCAACAAGAAAGAGAAAATGCATCTGAAGAGGAAAGATCTCACAGACTGGAACAGTCAAGGGTAATAAATTCAACAAGAAAGACAAAATGCATCTGAAGAGGAAAGATCTCACAGACTGGAACAGTCATGGCAAGATTTCAACAAGAAAGATGAAATCACAATTCGGAACTGAAGAGGAAAGATCATAGGTATAGGTAAGAATTCAACAAGAAAGACGAAATGCATCTGAAGAGGAAAGATCTCACAGACTGGAACAGTCATGGGTAAGATTTCAACAAGAAAGACAAAATGCATCTGAAGAGGAAAGATCTCACAGACTGGAACAGTCATAATAATTCAACAAGGGTCAGAATGAATTGAAGAGGAAAGATGTTCACAGACTGGAACAGTCATGGTTTTCAACAAGAAAGAAATGCCAGAAGGAAAGATCTCACAGAAAAACTGGAAACAGTCAGACGGAATTTCAACAAGAAATGAACGAATGGATCTGAAGAGGAAATATTTCTACAGACATGATGAACTGAGAAAGATAAAATGGTAATAATTCAACAAGAAAGACAGAAAACATCTGAGAGCGGAAAGATCTCACAGACTGGAAAGAGATGTTGACGAATGGATCTGATATCACAGATGTGGTATTTCAACAAGAAAAGAGAAAATGCCATCTGAAGAGGAAAGATCTCACAAACTATAACTGTCAGGGTAATAATTCAACAAGAAAGACAGAAATGCATCTGAAGAAAAGATCTCACAGACTGGAACAGTCATGTGTAAGATTTGGAGAAATGCATCGACTACAACTGGAACAGTCAAATAATTCAACAGAAAGACCAAATGCATCTGAAGGAAAGATCTCACAGACTGGAAACTAAGATTTCAACAAGAAAGAGACAGAATGCATCTGAAGAAAAAGATCTCACAGACTGGAACTGTCATGACAAATTTTCAACAAGAAAAATGCAGAAATGGAACATGAAGAAAGAGAAAAAGAGCTCAGGGAACAGTCATGGAATTGTAATTCAACATGAAAGAACAAAAAAAATGATCTGAAGAGGAAAGATCTCAACATGACTGGAAAGGAGAAAGAATTCAAAATGAAAGACATGGAAACTGAAGAGGAAAATCTCATAGACTGGGAAGGGTCAGACGGGAATTTTAACAAGAAAGACAAAATGCATCTGAAGAGGAAAGATCTCACAGACTGGAACAGTCAAGGGATGCAGAATTCAACGAGAAAGATAAAATGCCAGACATGTCTGAAGACAGAATGAAAAATCTCACAGACTGGAACAGTCATGGGTAAGAATTCAACAAGAAAGACAAATGCATCTGAAGAGGACTCCCACAGACTGAAACAGTCAAAGGCGATGCAAAAAGAAAGAATGCCAAAATGACATCTGAAGAGGAAAGATATAGAGCGGCACAGACTGGAACAATTGTAATAGAGATGTTGACGAATGATCAAACAAGAAAGACAGAAATGATGCATCTGAAGAGGAAAGATTTCAAAAAGTCGCAGACATGGAACGAATTCAACAGAAAACAAATAGAGCGGAAAGATCTCACGGACTGGAACAGTCATGACGAAATGCATCTGAAGAGAAAGATCTCACAGACTGAACAGTCATGGGTAATAAAATCAACAAGAAAGAAAAAATGCATCAGACATGAAAGATTTCACAGACTGGAACTGGCAGGGTAAGGACGGAATTGTAAAAGAAAAATGTTGACGAAAAGATCTCACAGACTGAACAGTCATGTGTAAGATGCAAACAAGAAAGATAAAAATGCATCTGAAGAGGAAAGAATACACAAACTGAAACAGTCAGGGTAAGATTTCAACGAGAAAGAGAAAATGCATCTGAAGAGGAAAGATCTCACAGACTGGAACAGACATGGTATGCAAAAAGAAAGAATGCATCCTGAAGAAAGATCAAAATGCCAGAATAATTCAACA